CATAGAAGGCAAAGCATCTGCTTATGTATTTGCCAGTCCTGGGTGCAAGAAGTGGGATACATGTGCACCTGAAGCTATTCTACATGCTGTGGGAGGTAAGTTAATAGCATTCAAAGTTCCAGGATAAGTAAAACTGCATTAATTTGAAGTTAGTTATGCTTTCCATTGAAAGAAAAATGACAATACATGTGTCAATAACTGTCATGTAATTAAAAAAGCCAAATCCCTAAATTTGGGATATATTCATTTTAATATTTTCAAAACAAATGTCCCTTTTTTTTTCTGTTGGCCACTATCTCACAGTAAAATCTGATGTCCTACTAACTGAGTATAGTAGTTTATTATTAGTAACATATTATGTAATATGTGGATATTGAATTCTTTAAACCAACAAAAATAGGTCAAATCATGCTGTCGTTCTCTGGATGTACAAACTCCAAAATTGAGTCATTCATGTAATTCAACAGAATTAATGGTCTCCAACCAACATGAGACACTTCACTTATCTAGGGGCTAAAGGGTTATAAAAGTTATGAAAAGACTCACTACTGAGGATTTGAAGTAGTATTTTTTTTTAATTCTTCTTTTCACATTAATAGGCCATTTACTATATGCTAAAATTATCGGGTTTGATTCCTAAATTCTGTCAAGCAAGGATAACAGGCTTCATAATGACACTACTGAACTCCTCTGCAGCCTGTAGTGTTCATAACTGTGGGATGATTTTAAACAGGGTTACTCAAGCACAAAGTAACCCAACCAATCTGGGGCAGCACAGTGCTGTATTTAGCGTCTTTGGTAGATAGGAATCTCCTGGTTAAATCAGCTTGAATAAAGATCTGTCTTGCTCTTGCTAAGTGATTCCTAAAATCTCATTTAAAACCAGCTGGGGTGTTTCAACATTATGTTAGTTTGTGATATAGAGTTACCCTGGTTTTTACTTGAACTGATGATTTTTCCTTGCTGCTTGTCAATGGCAAATGTAAAAGCTACTCAGGAAGCATTTTAAGTAATCCATGAGAGAAACATATTTTCCTTTTCCTGAGACACAAAGAATTTAAGTATTGTTGAAAAAAAAACCCAACAAAATCCCACTAGTTATTTGATTTCAGTCAACATAAAACCTGTTGTACTTTAACTTGAAGCAAAGATAGTTCACATCTGAAGACAGGCATGTGTACCACAAAGACTGCTTTTAGTTATTTCACTTGAACTAATAGACTCCAACTCCTTTTTGCTGGAATATTTTTTCATTTTTTTTTTTTTTTTTTTTTTTTTTTTTTTTTTGTTTTGCAGGCAAGATAACTGATATCTGTGGAAATTCCTTTCAGTATAACAAGGAGGTGAAACACATGAATTCAGCTGGTGTCCTTGCCACTTTGAGAAATTATGACTACTATGCCAGTCGTATTCCAAACACTGTGAAAGAATCTCTTGTGCCTTAAAGCAGGGAAGAGTCTTCACTTGGCCTGGAAGGCTGAGAAAATGAGCTTGGTAAAAAAGAAAGGAAGAAGATGACTGAGCATTAAATTCTGTTTCATAGAATCTGAACTGAACTCTTTCAGTAAGGTGTTCAATAATATCAAAATTATACAGAATCTCTAAGTATCTGCTGGATCAGATTGTTTGGCTATGTTGAGCAGACAACATCAAAACAGTCAAGTTTCTTCAGTAGTTGTTTTCTATATTCCTTTGGAGTTTTTCTTCCTCATGACTGAGTGTAATATACTGCTAATCATAACATTGCATATTCTGGATACAAAATCATGTTAAGTCACGTGTCTGATCTTGCTCAATGGTTTCTGTTGTCAGTAAGGTTTATTGTGTTAAATACAAATGGACTAAGCATTTCCCTGGATGGATGATCTCATTTGTTATAAAGTTGCCAGTTTTGATTCTTAGAGTGGCATCTGAATTTTTTTCAGTCTGCACTGAGTTTTGCAGGAGGTAGGACACAATGCAGCTGGGCCTGGAAATCTCAAATAAGGATTCATGGATCACTGGATACATTGAAGATCAGTGAAATGTACATACATCAGAGTTCAGAACAGCTCAGTTGGGAGCCCAAGGAAACATGACAAGGGCACCTCTATGATGATTTGAAATGATTTTTCAGGGTTTATGCCACTGCAGTCTTGGAGCACTTTGGGCATCCAAAGCCAAGGTCACTTTGGCATACTTGGGAATAACACAAAAGCCAGACTTTGAAATTTTCCATGTCCAGATTCTGAGATAAACCAGGTGCCTTTCCAACAGCCCCAGAGTTGAGGAAGTGGACAGTACCATTTCCCCCGCATGTGGAACACAGGCATGTTAGAGGAGGGGAGAAGAACAGGGCCAAGATCACCTAAAATTAACTTTGAATTGGAGATTCTGTTTCAGTCAGCTTTCCCATAGGTGTGGCTGTTAGGAAAGCAGGATTAAACTGCCCAGTCCACTTGAACACAAAAGAAAAGCCGTAGTAAATTGCGTATCACTAACTAAAATTGGAAACTTAGACAAACCCTTTTGAAGTCTCTTCAAGCTGAATTTAGGATTTTGGAATTATGCTCTTGAACCAGTGAGGCAGCTCTGCCCCTTCTTTTCTCCAGATGTTGTCACTCAAGTCCCTTACTCTCAAATGATGGAGTCCTAGGGCCTCCTTTTCCCTATCAATGTGATACATACTGAGGCATGCCATGGAGAGATGCCAGTTTCAACAGACAACACGGAGATTTGCTTTTCTTTCTATTCAACTTGTGGAGAAAAGAGTGACATATGTCAGGTTCTCAGGCAGGTGTTGTCAGGAAGGGTGTCTGAACACAGCTGCTTGCTTACCTAAAGACTGAATCCCTAAGCCCTCACACAATTTTTTTCCTTACCCTCTGCTGGCACCACGAATGCCAAAGTAGCCTGCAAGATGCACTGCACCCTTTCTTGCCTCCTCTCTACCCACAAGATTAGGTCTTCTAAATAACTACACTCTTCATCCACACAAACTGTCTTTAAATGAGTGCCTTAAGGTACAAAAAGTTGCTTTCCATACAAAAGAAGGTTTTGAAATTCAGTTTTCCAGTGTGTTCAAGTTAGTTTTTTCTCCTGTCATCATACAATATATTCAACAACTCCACTTAGAGTCCTTAGGTTAGATCCTTTCCTCACATTAGGGTTATACCAATATGTCTTCACTGGCTTAAAGCTGACTCCATTTCCAGGAACATCTTGCCACCAAAAGATATGAACAAGGCAACCCTTGCTAAAATGTTCCTATCTCTCCATGTGCACACATGGAACAGAATCTAAGGAATCTTTTCCTTAGTGAGGTCATCTTAGCCCAACATTTACAGATACATTAGCAAGATTAGCATTTACCTCATTCTAGCATTACACTGGATTAGAGCTGCATATATAGGAACAATGTGTGCTTCTAATCCCTTGATCTAAAGCCTACCTTTCTTCTCTTCCTCAATTGCATAACTGGTAAGAGCAAGCAGGGCAGATTCAGCCTGCTTTAATTAGAACCTTCTTCATATTTTAGCCCATTAAAAGTTTAGTCATTCCATGTACTGATTGTGACTGAAGTTTGAACCACATAGCAAGTACAATGATTTCACTGCTTATTATACATAATTTTTACCTTTAATTTATACAGGATTCTTTGAATTATATGCTGTGGCATTCCCATCAAAATTTGCATCAAAATTTGCAAAACATCTTAAGATAAAATGTAGAACAACTCAGGCAACACAAAGGCCTGCCTTAATCGTTCTTTCCATGCAATCATTAAAATACAAAAGACAGAATCCACTGATAGTAATCTTCATCTACTGCCTCTATAACCTTATTTTCATCTGTACTTGCAATAGGTTTGAAAATCTCTTCAGCATAAGCCTCTTTCTAATTCTGCTGTAATTTCTGTCGGCTCATTTAGTTACCTGAATGGGAATAGAACATATAGCATGTATCAGCTTCTGCATGGTGTCTAAAGATACTTATGTATGGAAACTCGTGGAAATACTTTCCATGCTTACAGAAACTGCAGAACTGCTAACACAGGAGAAGAGTAAGGAAAGTTGAAATTAAATCCAGCAGCAGGAATCAAGCATAAAAACCAGCATGTAATGTGCAGTCATGCTGTGGCTATACCACTACCTCCACTGCACAAAAAGCAGTGGTTCACCATTCAAGCATTTGATAATGTATATCTCTGTTAGCACATTAGGTGCTACAGTCACATCTATAAAATAGATTGGGGGGGGGGGGGAAATCACAGGGACACTGCATTGTCTTTGCAACAAACTGAATTTGTGCCAGTCTCCTGTGAAAACTCGGTGACACAGCATTTTGTAATTCATTCCAAGGCTCCAGAAGGTGGCTGGGCACTGGGACAGGCTCTCCAGTGAAGTGGTCACAGTGCCAAGCCTGCCAGCTCAAAAGCGTTTGGACCACGTTGTGCACGGCCAGGAGTTGAACTCAGTGATCCTTGTGGGTCCCTTCCCGCTCGGGATATTCTAGGACTCATTTGACCCGCTGCAAAATTCGCACGTTTGTCAGAAGTTTAACAAGTGACATCCTACAAAACCAGAGGAGTGAAACCACCGCACTCAAACGTGTCGGTGTGTGTTGCGCTGCTCGATTTGTTTGGATCATCACACATAGTAAAGGGGCTGGACGCATCTCCACGTCTGCTGCCAGACATCCAGCTAATGGCTTTGGCAGGCAGCGCTCGCACAGCCCTGGGGAAAGTTCAGCCGGAGAAGCCTTAAGAAGGGAAGCACCGACATCTGGTTTGCTGCGGAGCAGGGCAGCCCTCACCCAGCACCCATCCCTCATCCCGGCCGGCTCCTCCGGCGCGGCCGGGAGCGCCCCGGGCGCCGCCCGCTCGCCACCTCCGGCCGGCTCCGGGCCTCGGCAGCAAAGGGACACACCAACCACACTCGCCTCCGCCGCCTCTACTGCTTCTCCCGAGGAAGTGACGAGCGCTTTCCCCGCCCCGGGGCGGGTCCTGCCGGGCCGCGCCGGGCCCTGCCGAGCTGGCAGCACTGCACGCCCCGCCCCGCTGCCTCCCTCGGTTCCGGCGCTGGCGGCGGGAATGGCGGCGCTGAGCCTCACCGTGGACGCGAGCACTCCCCCGCTCGGTAAGTGCGGGCCGGGCCTCGCCCCGCGTCTCCCAACCCCGCTCTGCCGGGGGGTCCCGCTGGTCTCTGTCCCCTCCCCGCCCCCCTCGCTCCCTCCTGCCCGTGTTGCATCATGCGGCGCCGGCCGTGCCCGCGTGCGGGGCCGGGCGAGGCGGTACCGGGGCCGGGGCCCGTGCCCGTCCTTCCTATTTCTCCCGTCTATCCCATCCCTGCCGTCCTTCCCCGGGCCGTGTGCCCGTTGCGGGTCCCTCTGGGCAGCTGCTCGGGCCGTGGCGGAGCGGCCGGCGCTGGGCAGAACTCTGGCTGCAGGAACTCGGGCAGCGGTGAAGCCTCGGGTGACTTGGCGCGTTGAGGCTGAATGTTCAAGGCAGCCCTAGTTCTCATCGCCTGTTCGTGAGCTCTGCCGCTGTCTTGCTACCTTTCATTTTCAGTTCTAATCTGATGCTAAAATTCCCCTTTGGGGAGCTGGCTCGAAGTTCTCAGTTGCTCACTGCCCTTCGATGTTATTTTGCCTTTAAAAATGTGAGAACCTCCTTCATTGCACTTCCACACATCTGGAAACAATCTTTTGTATGTGTTCCATAAAATTTTTCCATTTCGTTGTAGCTGTTCAAAATAAATTTTCTTCCTCTTCTTCATCGTAGTTTATTGATTTCTTTTTCTTGCTGTTACTTCCAAATGCATTTCAGAGTTGAATACAGCTTGCATGATTACTGATTCATGGTATAAAAACATATACATTTTAAATAAAATTTCTCCTGAGACTTGTTTATACTGATTTGCCAGAAAAGAAAATGATGCAATATGAATTATGATTAACATCAGGTTTAGGGGCTTTGGAGACTTATTTTGTTTGACAGCTGGTATGTGGCACTGGAGGTTTATTTCAGGAGATTGCATGATTGTGTCAGAAATGTTACATATTACAGATGAAACATTTATATCAAGGAGACAAGCACGCTTGTCTTACTCATCCCTACTTCATTCTCTTCATTGTGTCTGCTGTGCAAGAAAAGTGTCATAGTTTTTAATGTCATCAGTATTAATTACATAGCTTGGTGCACATAATAGTTGTCATTTTCTAAAGCATTTCCGCGCATGTTATTAAAATACTTACGTGTCTTACTAACATAATGCATAAGAGATGTCAACCTGAATTTCACAGATGGATAGCTGAGGGATGAGAATAAGAACCTTGACTTACTCTTAATGCCAGAAGAAGGGTTTTCAGCTGAGAAGAGGTGAGAACTAGGCAATTCCTAGCTCCCCAGTGCTTTGTATTTAGGCCAGTGTATTAATAGCTTGTAGTATCATCTGCCTTGGTAGCTGGAGCATTGTTCTAGGGAAGGTAAAGTGCACAGCACACTGTGGAGACTGTAACAGGTTAGGTGCCTCTCCAGACCTAGATTACAGTCCTTGTTTTGCCTATGCAAAAGCTTGCTGCCTTTGTACGTGCTTCTGAGCAAAGTTAGAGAACACAAGCTCCTCTGCTTATGCTCAGCAGGCTGAGTCTGGAGCAGAGCCAGTGCAGAAATGCAGCCAAGTGAGCTTGGTGCTTTGTTTGAGCTGCTGTGTCGTGCTGTAGAGCCTTGAGATCAGAGCAGGTTTGCATCAAGCCCCTTGGAATGTGGGTAGAGCTGTCTTCCAGTCAATGGTGTAGCCTAAAAACTTCAGTAATTCTTCTCTTTCTGGAGATCATTTTTACTGTCACTGGTGAACTACTTTGAAAACCCAATGTAAGCTTCCTGTGCTTTTACATGGATAAAGTTTCTTGGTTTTGAATGGCTAATCTTTTCATAAACTTTAAATCAGGTTAAAAATAGTCGCATCCTTGTTCAGAAAGTGCTGTTACATTCAGTATTTGATCTCCTTTGATGCATGTGTCAGGGCTGGAATGGAGTATATTGGTAATACTGTTCAATAATTAAGAGCTTTTTGATTACATTCTCCTCATATACTGGGGGACTGGATTAATTTTTACCATACCCTTAGGAAGCAAAAATGTATTGCAGCAGACACTTTCTGAGCTCACTGCAGATCACTGTGTGCTGGACATTATCAATTTGAGGCTGTAAGGATTGCCAAGAAGAAGCCTCTTGCATGAGACTGAACATTGATTTTTTTTTGTTTCCCTGGGCATTCTCACTTGAAGGAGTCAGCTCAGTCACCTGGTCCTAATGCATAGGAGATATAAATGCTTGGTTGAAACTATGAAAGGTATCTCTCCTGGACAGAAGTTCAGTATCTTTTTCTCTTGTTTTTTCAAGGAGCTCTGCTGACAGTGGAGCATGTGAAGAATGATGTTGAAATTTCAGTGCAAGAAGGCAAAGAAACTATCCTCTCTGTGTCCGAGTAAGTGACTTTGCATCTCTCCTTCTACCTTTGGGTCAGCAGTTTTAAAAATCACATCATTGTAGCATTGACAGTAACCTTTTGAAGTAGGAGGGAAGGAAAAAAACCACAGTTTTATTCATCACTGCATTACGGATGTCTCTAGCACAGGCAAAACATTTACAGTATATTCTGAACTAGATCTTTATGGAAAAAACTCTTTATTTACCTGTACCTATGTACAACATTTATGCTGTACCAGTCACTTTACTGTTTAGGACTTTGTGTGGTGCCATGGGTTATCAACAGCAAGGCTGTTTTATTGTAGGGAGGTTTGATAACATAAGATTCCTTGGACTTGTACATGTATGGTGGACTGAAATTTGAATTTTTAGATGACATAATTTTAGGCTATTCAGTGTATCCTTCTGCACACTGTAGAAAGAATATTGGAAATTTTTGTAGTAATCTGTCATCTGTCCTTCCAAAAATACTCTGCCATTGGAATGGATAACTTCAAGTTTGGGACACGAGAAGATGGTTTTTACAATCTCAGTAAGATCAAATGCCTATCAGAAATGCAGAACTAACACTGTTAGTTTTGGGAAGCTGCACTGTCATCTTTGATTCCATATGAGTTCAGACATCTGGATATATCAAGAGGAGAGGTCCTGCTGTCTGACATATCAGTGGAAACTGGCATTTAATATCTGCAGTAAGGAACATATTTGTACACATGAGCTTTGCAGTTGTAACTTAAAGTATGGTAACACCATGATGAATTTGGAATTGCTGATTTTAACTGTAGTTTTTGAACATTGATTGGTTTTTTTGAAGATTGGGGGGAATCTATTGTTCACAGAGTTGCTGGCAAACTCTCATTTTGTCAGCTAATTCAGTAGAAGATGCTGTTAGAGCCACCAATGCATCATAGACTGGAATACCGCTTGTCTGTAGAATCGCTATAGAAGCAGCATATTTCATCTTGTATTGCAGTTACTGACTTGTTCCTCATAAATTAACACTAACTGAGCATTTCCATGTCTTTTAACATTAGGTAATAAGCTTGTCACTATGTACATATATTTGCAGAAAATCAAAGCACAGGAAGATTCACAGCCTTCAGTCATGGTTGTTTTACTGGTTGCAAATATTGTTTTCTGTTTCAAATGTTAGACCTGAACTCAGATAGGGGTTCTTGCATAATCTGATATTGCATGTTGTCTTTTGCTGTGCCTGGTGATGGCACTGAATTTGTGGTTTTCAGTGAAAGCAAGAGAAATATGACAAGTCATATTGGGATTTAATTGGTACAGCTTTAATAATCTTCAGTGTATGTTTTGCACATGTGTGATACAGCTCACTTAACAGAAAGTTAATTGGATACTTTTACTTGCAGGAGAAAGTTTTCCTCTTAAGTAGCCTTCGTCAGGTTTAGATTTTGTTTTACTTTGACTGTTTGGGCAGTGTATGGATATATATATATTGAAATATATGCATATATATATATGTGTGTGTGTTTATACATATATCTGCACCTGTGACACTTGGAATATTTTTAATGTATATAGTTTTTTTGAAATAATATTTATTTCATTAAATAATTTAGCGTTGCCATGCCTTCTTTGTACTGCATTGCAAAACCACTCATTTTAGCTGTAATGAGACTTGTCAGAAATGTAAAGCAAACACTCTTTTTCTGCACTTTGGCCCAAGATAGATAATATCTAGAATCATGGGCCCATCAGATGGAAGTTTTTGTGTGTTAGTGTCTTCTCATCCCTGACATTGGCTTATGTTCAGGAAGTTATTCTAGACCTCAGTATTGCATTAATTTTCCCTTGCTTGGTTGTCCAATAATTTTGAAAATTGATTCTCTACCTTAAAGTCTGTTAAAAGTATATCTGCAATGTAGGAGGCATCAGCTGAACTCATATCTCAACTAATGCTTTTGCTAAATGGATTTCATGGCATCAGTTCTACTGAAGCATCTTGTTTTGGCATGATGTGAAAATCACTTGGGATGTTTCAGACTTTGATTTTTTTTTTTTTTGGGAATCCATTAGTTCTAATGACTTCACTTGAACAAGAAGGAACATTTTATTTGTGATTCTTCTAGGTTTGGTTTTGAAGCTCAGTTAAAATTTGGTGACAAAATTTTTAGCTAACTAGCTGAAACTTAGCCAGCTACCTAAAAGGTTTATCGCTCATTTGAGATGATGAATTTTATTTTAAAGATTATTTTTGAAGACTTAGCTTCAAAACTTCATTCAGTAATAGCTCCTAAGCAAACTACTCTGCTAAGTGCTGATGGCTTTATGGAGAATTTTGGTGTACCTGTGTCTTGTCAAAACAAGCTGCAGTACAGCTTTTGTGTGCTGACCTCATGCACATTTCAGAGTAGTTATTCCTCCTAAGCAGATCAAGCAAAAGCTTTTTGCAAATAAATTCAGAATTGATTTATTATGGTTGGAAATAATTTGTGTTTTAGGGTTTTTTAAATTATGTGTTTGCTTTTATTTTTTGGTCCCTTTTTCCCATCTTGTCTTCTTGAACATTTGCCCTGTTTAATTATGTGGCATTTCATGTCACTCTCAATAGCCACTCTTGGCCTGTAACATTGCATTGTCCCTGTTTATTCTTCCTTAGCTCTGGAGTGAGCAAGCACTGACTGCAAAAAGTCTTTTATAACTTTTTCAAAGAGGTCAATTAGTGATGTTTGGGTGGAAGGATTTTGTTTTTCCTGAAGAAAATAACTTTTAAAGCATAAGTAAGATTTTACTCGAAGTAACATTTTCCCATTTCATACATGTATTCAGTTTTGCTTGAGTAATCAAGGGGTATTTGTTTTGGTATGAATTAGTGAAAACATTAAAAGTGCATTTCACAGACTTTTCAATTGAAAATGTATTGGAAAATATTTGTTTTTCTCAGTTTATAAAAGCTCCCTTAAAATCTGATAGTGGGAAATTAAAATAAGAAACATTTTCAATTACACAGTAGGGTATAATTTAAACACTATTGTGACTTTTGGTTTTAGTTATATTTTATGGATCTTCTATATGTATACTGGATCCTAGATGCTTGGAAAGCAAGCAAAATTAAAAACAAGCAAACCAAAAAACCCCTCTCAATGAACTGTATTCCTTAGGTTGTACTGCAATTAGCCTAATGAGACTGGCTAGTCCATTTGTACTAAAAATGGGACACATTCTAATTGTTAATATTCTGTGTAATTTTCAGAACTTTTGTTGATTTTTGCAAGGCTTGAGGGCTATCAGAATTCTTTTAATTTATAAATGACGCAGTAGGTAAAAAAAGGAAATAGAGAACAAGGATGGAACAGAAGTGAAAACTTGGTTGGACATATTGGGGTACAGCATTCAGTCCATTAAATTGAGTAAATGTTCAAAAAAAATCCACAGGGACTCCTTTTGTTGATATCAATGCTTGGTTTAGAAGCAACTGGAGCTCTGTTTTTTGCAATCTGCATCTATGTGGAACTGTAGAGTAGAGATGAGTATTATCTGGAGAACCGATGCTTCTGATGCATCTTTCTTCCAAAGCTCTTTAGTAAATATTAATTTATCTTAGATGAACTGGAAGCTATATTTCTGAAAGTGTACAGCTTTTTTTGATACTGCATGTAGTGTAGAAAAGTGACCTGAAAACAAAGTACTCCCTTTGGAGAGCCTTTCTTCTGCAGGTGTTGAGGACTTTTATAAGTGGAATGGGGACAACAAATTCAAATTAGACTGTTATTTGGAGAAGACTGGGTAGAAAAACAAATACAGGCAGGCAAGTTTGTTCACCAGGTGATGGTTTCTGTGAAGTGTGAATTGAGTAAAGGAAGTAACAAATGAACAGGGATTTTTCCCCTGATGCTAGCCCTTAAAACCATGATGAAGACCTCAATTCTTCTGTTGATTCACTAGGAATCCTCTTCAAAGTGATAATTCTTTTATGAAAAGAAAATAAATATTGATTAGCTCCTTATAATCTGGAAAATATGTTGTTCAGGTTATACTTATGAATTCGTCAGATGGGGAGAGAGTTTTAGTATTTGAAAGAATAATCAGTCTTATTTTCTTATTTTCAGCTTAAACAAACTTCTTGCACATTTAGAAGCTTATTATTCCATCTGGTGATAGAAAAGCAAGGACTTATTTATTCTTGTGCTAGATGTATTTCATTTTTACTTTTCTACTCTGGTGACTTGGTACCTGTTGGCTCGCCTGGAAGTTATTTTGTGTTTGCTTTGCACATGTTTCAACTATGGATGTGCAATTAAAGTTGAACTGACTGGAGGTAGTAATTTACTTTTGCCTTGCCCCTCTCTTTCTTTTAGGCAAGTTTCATTTACTGATGTGAATTCAATAGCCCGGTACCTGGCTAGAGTTGCTGCCTCTGCTGGGTTGTATGGCTCGAATCTCTTGGAACACACTGAGGTGAGAAGGAATCACAGAATCATAACATGGTTTGGGCTGGAAAGGACCTTAAAGACCATCGATTTCCAGCCCCAAAGACCATCTGTCTCCCATGGGTGGGGATACTTGCCTCTCGACCAGTTTGTTCAAAGCCCCATCCACCTTGGCCTTGAATCACTCTCTTGTCTCTTGGGTTTTTTTTTCCTTTTTCCTTTTTGTCTTTTGGCCTGTTCTGAGTTGGGGGGATGGGTGGATGGAGGTTTTTTTAACCTTGTGTCTATTGTTCTGCATTTTACTATTTGACTGAGGTTCCAGCTATGTGGGGATGCTGAGGGGTTTGCTTTGGTAAGCTTCCTCCTTCATATAAAGAAATATAAAGACAAAGAAATCTGTATAAAGACTAAGACATCTGAGCTTTGGAAGGGTTGCCCTTGCCCAACCCTTCAACAGCAACTCCTAAGCAGACAGCTTCTAGTATAAAATAATTCAGGTTGGAATGTAAAATACGGGATTTTCCCTCCTCACTCCCCTTAGATCTGTTGCCATCAGTTGCTATCTTGTAACACTTCAGTGTAACACTAAGGAACACTGTGTGTAATTGAAATCCTGAAGTAGTTTTTGCTGTCTGTGATAGATAAAACCCTGACCCTGGTTTCTTCCAGGGGTTTCTTCCTGGGTCTAGCTCAGAATAATCAATCATATGCTGAATTTAGCATACTAGCTGACAAAATGAAACTAGCACACAAACTGAAATTTACTTTCTCTGAAATTTGGGGAGGAACTGAAGGATTTGATTCAGTCTTTTCTTCTTGAAGCCAGTGGTAATCACTCTTCAGTCACTCTTCCGCCCTCATAGCTGGTCTCAAGGGAAATATTGTCTTAGTACTTTGCCTGTGAGGCGTTAAAAAGTTGTAAGTTATCTTGTGGCTATTTAAAATTTCTGTCCAAATCCCTTGTTTTTAAGTTAAGCCCAGACCTCAGCAAACACACTTGCAGGGCTGGTATTTCTGATACAATACTTCTTTGCACTGCTGCTTTTTTCCAGAATAATACTGTACTTGGAGAAGTACAGGGACAGCTGCATTTGTGGTGCACATATTTTGGCGTGCAACTGCAAATGACTGAACTGATTTCTGTGGTGGTTGTAATTACATCTGTGACTGCCACGTTGGCTCAAACATTGGAAGGATTCCTGTTGCAGTTTGCAGAACAGTTAAACATGAAATAGGACCAGAGAAGAGACACGTAGTCTCTTGTAGGATTGAGGGATTCAGTTTATATACAGGGCTACATTATTAACCAGCCTAATTCTTAATATTTTTTTAAGTACAAAGATAGGTGGAAAAGACTTTTGCAGGAGTGGGGAGTAGGACTTGTGAAGATCAGGGGTTTGATTTCTTCAAATCTAAAAGGAGATGAGGAAGAGAAAATGAGGGCTGAGGGGAAAATGGTATACTAACCAGCAGCAGCACCAGGAAGAGAAAATAGGTCACAAATATGATATGTAAATAGCTAAAGGACAGTGATGAATTTATATATACTCTTGTGATAAGTGAGTACCTGAGAACTGCTTATTATTTTACCAGTGGGAATAACTTCAGTGAAGTTGATGTTTTCGGCAGTTTGAATTCATGCTGAAGGAAGAAATTAAATTTCATTATATAGTATCATTCTTGGTGAATTTTTCAGTATAATATATTTTAAAAATTCTTTCAACATATGTCATGATCTGATATATTTAATTCTAATGTTTCTGTTAATATTTTCTGTTCAGCTGTTAGATCAATTGTGTATTATTCAGTTATTTAACAAGCTTAATTCTCATTCCTTTAGTAACTTTAACTGTCTTTTGTCCCTTCAAACAAGATTGACCACTGGCTGGAGTTCAGTGCTACACAGTTATCTACTGCCAGCCAATTCCCTTCAGCCATCCAAGAACTCAACCACTGTCTGTCTCTACGGACCTACTTGGTGGGAAACTCTCTGAGTCTTGCAGATTTGTGTGTCTGGGCTGTACTAAAAGGTACTGGTTTATGTTCTCTGTTCCAATGGCTTGCAATATCAATATATTGATACTCAATCAATATACAACAGGAATGCCCAATTTTTCTTTTTTGTGGATGCTAGTAGTGACTCCTAGCTCTACGACAGACTGTACTGTCATGCACATTGCTGTGACCTGTGTATCACTAGTGATGGCAATAGCTTAGGAAAACCTAGATTTTATTTTTAAATTATTGTTACATTTGGAAATTTATGAATTGTAATCCCTAGGTGGAACTTTTTCTAATTTCTTTTGTGCTAATAATTGCAAGAACATCTTTTATTACCTGTTGCCTCAATATGAAAATGTGCAATTTAAAATTATATGCATTGACCTTTCTGTGGCATTGTCTTAGCAGAGGAAATTTCTTCAGTGTTTACTTTGAATTATTAAAAGACGTAGATGTTAATCTGCAAAATACCCTTTAGAGGTTAAAGAAGCTTTGACCTGTTTTTATGGATTTGGTTTTTATTTTCTCTTACCTCTATATCTAAAGGTGATAGGGGACAAGCTACCATTCAGTATAACCCAATTTTACTTGAAAGTAAAGGGAATAATTAGGATTAAAAGCTAGCAGCTTTTGGTTTTTTTTTCAATGTTGCTGCTCTTAAGAGCAATCTGAAAAGCTGCTGTTGATAAAAATAATTTTATTTTTATAATTTAATAGTTTGAGAACTTCTTTGTTTTCTAACAGATAATAGTACATGGCAGGAGCAGTTAGAACAAAACAAGGCTCCTGTGCATGCAAAGCGATGGTACAGCTTCCTTGAGGTACAACGTGCTTTCCAGTCAGTAGGAGCCAAGTGGGCTGCTGGTACACCAAAGGTTAAAATGGTAAGATTTACTCAGATCTTCTGGGGAGACTAGCTTTATTTCTGTGAATACACTGCAAGAATTTATTCTTTTTAAGTTAGAGAATTAAGAACTGAAAGTAAGCAGTCGTAGAGTGAACTAAACTTTTGTAAACTCTTGTTTACAGCTAAAGCTGTTGCTTTCAAATTTAGAAAGGCATAAGTTGTCTAGTCCAGTGCATAGGTGGAATTGTAGAAATATGGCACCTCTTCTTTTAATCAGCACTGCTCTTTAGATATATTGTTTGCTTTTTCTAAACACAGTTTGAGATCCTGATTGGACCTGCAAAGATTGCTCTTGTCAGTTGACTGAATCTGTTAATCATGTTCAGGTTAAGAACACTAAGATACAAAACCTTAACTAGCAATTGTTTTCTTCCATGGAATAAATTAGACAACTTGGAGGGACTTTTCAGTCCTGGACCAGATTTGAAGACAAAATAACTTAAAACTCTAGAATTCATCTTTATTTGGAGTGCCTTGAGTAATGTGAAAGTTGTGAAGAGATGAATTTGGGGTCCAGTATGGCAGCTTGTAGGTTTGAAAGGAGACTTTGATACAGCAGTTATTATCTAGAGTTATATATCTGATTTTAGAGCTAGTACAATCTGTAATTATGTCTCTTTTCAAGGCAACAGAAAAAGAAAAGAAAGCAGATGTTGGGAAGTTTGTTGAACTTCCTGGTGCAGAGATGGGAAAGGTCATTGTGAGGTTTCCTCCTGAAGCAAGTGGGTAAGAAATATGAATACTTCGACAAGGTTCTATTTTGTCTTAAAAAAAAAAAAAAGAAGTCTTTTGGTGAGGATGTTAATCAGCTTATCAGACAAGGCTGTTAAAACAAATGAGTGCTTAACGGTTTGTCGCCACTAGAGCTGTTTGTTCACTTCTCTTCTGTACTTCATTGCGCTGTTGCCTGAACTTGGAATAGGGAGTTTAGTTGTGAGGTGATGTTGTGTTTCTCAGCAGTGGGATGAGGAGAAGCAGGAGCATGGCATTTGTGTGGATAATGGATGTGTGTGGCCTGCCAGGAACTATGGTGTGGACATGCAGTCTTTAGGAATTGGGTCAAGGGACTCGGTGCTTCCCAAGGAAGCTTAAATTTGAGAAAGGAAATATGTATTGGATAGCCTTCCTTGGGGAAGCTTGACACCAGATGTATAATGGAGGGCCAGGGGTCCAGACTGTGTGGAATACCAAAGCACAAACTCCTTAAAGACCACACAGAGGAGCCAGTATAATAAACTCAATTTTCAGCCAGCTTTTCTGTTTCTTTTTGGAGTTGTCTGATGGCCTATAAAATTTCCACTACTACATTTGTTCATTAAACTGGCTGTTCAGCATCACGTGACTTCTGTAGTTCTGTTTCTTACTCTATTAGTCCAATATAAACTGTTATTCAAATATTGTAAATTATGTATTATGTACATGTATGTCTATAACATACATTATTCTCAGCTTTAGTAGTTTTTAGTGTCTTAATCCTGGTGTTTTAAAACACTGTTCTTCAGGGACATGTTACTCTCTTTTTGTAAGAGACTTTAATTTTGTGGATTTGGGGATTTATATTTAGTTTAAAATGTCAGTAGCTTTATAGCTTATATTAAAAAACACACAACAATCAGAAAATTCCACTCTTGTGAATGTGGTAGGTTCAGATTATCTGGTAGCTGCTATTGGGTATCATCAGCAGTTGGTTTGTCTGCAAAAAGGAGATAATTGCAGTCCAATCTTACAGTAACACTATAATTTACAGATTTAGTTATTTTTAACAGTTAATTATGAAATTTGTGGTAGAAGAAACATAATCTATTTTTATAAATGTGTAGTATTTCAACAAATATCCTAGGTTTGCTGTTTGTTACACTTAGGTATTGCTTTCCATTCTTTCTCCTTCCCTCACAAATAAAGAAGTCTAGCTGAAGTAGTTGTGGTGTATATATTTATTTTTTAATTTCCTTTTTAGATATCTCCATATTGGTCATGCCAAAGCTGCCCTGCTAAATCAGCACTACCAAGTTAACTTCAAAGGAAAACTTATTATGAGATTTGATGACACAAATCCAGAAAAAGAGAAAGAAGACTTTGAAAAGGTATGAGAAGATAGCAGAGTGATTGTAGGCTGTGAAAGAATGGTAAGTGCATGCCTCTCTTTTCTTTCATACTTATTCTTATGGCTTATCCTTCCTGGACAATGGAGCATTAAAAACACCACATCTTACATGAAGAGGCTAAAGAAAACTACCTTTCCTGAATATTACAGTGTACATTTTCACACTTGGCAGGTTATTCTCGAAGATGTTGCCATGCTGCACATCAAACCAGATCAATTTACATATACCTCAGATCACTTTGAAACAATAATGAAATATGCTGAGAAACTTATTCAAGAAGGGAAGGCTTATGTGGATGATACTCCTGCAGAACAAATGAAAGCAGAACGTGAGCAAAGAGTGGAATCTAAACACAGAAATAACTGTAAGATATTTTAAGCTTTTGTTTTGCTTCCTTACCTTTTGATTTGGTATCAAAGCTTGATTTTTATTAACAAATATGAGTGAAGTTACTAAATTGTGTATCTTCAAAGTCCTTATAGGGACTTGAAAGTGTTTAATGCTTTGTTCTACAAGGTTGGACGGATTAAATACATTTAGATCAGGACAGTATACTTGTGTGTGCATGAATTCATCACCATTCATTATCACTTAAATAATTCACAATGGAAAATGTGTGAAAGTGAATTCCAGTGTCCAAAGAGGGAGATGACACTGATTTTTGTTACTGCCGTAATAAAACTTGATTCTGTATCAGCTTCATTTAGAAAATTGTGTATTTTTGTTGTTCTTAGGTGTTAATAAGAATCTGCAAATGTGGGAAGAAATGAAAAAGGGAACAGAATATGGACAAACTTGTTGTCTACGAGCAAAAATAGATATGAGTAGTAATAATGGATGTATGAGGGATCCAACTCTTTTTCGTTGTAAAAACCAGCCTCACCCTCGGACAGGAAGTACCTACAAGTATGTCCACTTTCTCCTTGTGTGGCCTGTAGCTTTTACTCTTTCCAGGTCATTTACAATTACTTAGTAAATTTCTTTTAATACTTGGAACTTGCTAGCATCTTTCTACTAGAATATGTGATGAGTCTCTTGACTTTCTGAAACTTGTGCAAATTACTTCTAAAACGTGTGAGATGGCCGTTATAGTCAACAGTGAATATTATTTCAGTTTTGGTCCTTATATATGCTTGACAAAAACATTAGAAGTGAAGGGTAATTTTTTTTTTAGGCTTGAATATTAAGGCTGTTATCAGTTCATTTCTTGAAGGCTTTCTTCATCTTAAAAATATGTTGCCTTCTGGATCTTTCTGTGGACAATTGTGTATGTGTTATTTTGGTCTTGATCTGAAAGTTTTCAGGATCATACGTTAGAAATATTTATAATACATGAATATAAAGTTGAAATGTTTAGGTGGGAGGAAAGTGTTTTGTTCTACCCTGCTAATTAAAGATCTTTCTTGTCAGGGTTTATCCCACATATGACTTTGCCTGCCCCATTGTTGATAGTATTGAAGGTGTCACACATGCACTGAGAACAACGGAATACCATGACAGAGATGAACAATTCTACTGGATTATTGAGGCTCTGGGTATAAGGAAACCATATATATGGGAGTATAGCAGGCTAAACCTCAACAACACTGTGCTCTCCAAGAGAAAGCTCACGTGGTTTGTCAACGAAGGCCTTGTGGATGGATGGTACGTTCCATGGCTGTAGGTCAGCACTGTTCCCTAAGATTCTTGTGACTGGCACATTCATTTTTGCTTTGGGAAGAATATAGTTAATTAAACTGGCTTGTGTATGTACAATGTGTCTGTTTCCTACTCTACAGTAGCTGTGTACATACATATTCATGGCCAGTTATAAACATGAGGCAGCTTATTTTTGGACTCTGGCTCTGCTGTGGGTGGCATTTACATGTTTTCCACTCTTGAGTCATTGGTTGTTGTCATTGGAGTAATTCCTAAACAATGCCAGAAGAGGGCCTGGATTGAAGTGTTTCTGGTCCTGTCCATCTAGTCAAATCCATCCCACTTCTCTCCAGCATGCCCTCACCCTCCTTCTTTTTGTTAATTTTTTCAGATTAATTTGATTTCTGAAGACAGTGTTTGGTGGACTAGTTGTCTAGTTGTCAGTTGAATTGGAAGCTTAGATTCCTAGTTTATGCATGGAGCCACTTGTCTAGAGCCAAATTTATCCTTTCTTGCCCCTGCCTGTTTTTTTTTTTTTTTTCCCCTAGAGATGTAGCTGATCTTATGATGCCTTTACTCTTCCTTCCCTAAGGACCCCTGTTATGTCCTCAGCAAGGTTTGGTTCATGTTCCTACCAAATTCAAATGTTACACTGCAGATCAGGCCTTTTTATTTCTTCCATAAGAGAAACAAAAAAAATCATAAAATTCTATCACTCATATAAAGAGGTAGCATTGTCACTTTTCTCCAGTAACATTTTCTGGGTGCCCTTGGAAGGGAAATAATGGATAGCGACATAACTTTTGCCTTGCTAGTTTTTGAGAGACCTGACCTTCACCATATGTTTTGTATGGATAAGAGCTCAGTCTTCTCAGTTAGGTGCTCTCACCTTGCTGGGAATTCAGTGACTAAAATACACTGAGGCTGTGCCTTTTGTGTGTGGCAGTATTAGTAAAGTTCTTGATAAGTGCAGAATTAGAAAATCTAGTGCATGGCACTAATGGAACACTGTTTTCCACTAGGGATGACCCAAGATTTCCCACTGTGCGTGGTGTCCTGAGAAGAGGCATGACAGTTGAAGGACTAAAACAGTTTATTGCTGCTCAGGTGGGTGTTTTCTTCTGATTCTTTGAATCTCCCTTGCTAAGTTTCACAAATTTTTGTGAAGCTTCACTTAATGTACTTCTCACTGGGAGGTTTCTGCTTTTGAAGCTTTGCTACTTTGATGTATATTGCTTCAACAATGGCAGCACCTGTGAGTAGGGGTTGGCAAAATGGACTTGCAGGTTTCTTATTTGGAGAGGGTTTATTTTGCAAGCTCAAAAACTGTTTTTGATTAAAACAAACCATAGAGAGTTTTCAGTTTAAAGAACTTTGTTTTAAATTAGTCTAAGAGCTGGAATATTTACATTAACGTGGTATTGTTTTTTTGGTTTTTTTTTTAATCCAGGGCTCCTCTCGATCTGTCGTGAATATGGAGTGGGATAAAATCTGGTCCTTTAACAAAAAGGTATGTGCTTACTCGGATTTGTTGCTACTCCTGATATCCTCTTTCTAGGATATGTAGAGAATCCAGCATTCATTGGAGTGCTTGTCACAACAAGTAGCAGTTGCAGTATGCTGCATCATTTGGCGCACTCTCAGGAAAATGGAATGTGCCCCCCCTTCTAACCTGAAGAAGCACTAACCCTATTGATTCTTCTATACCAGTACTTACTTGCCTTCCTTAGTAATATGGGAAAGGATAATGGTATTTGTGCAAATCTGATCTGAAAACTGCATTTCATTTTTCTGCTTTCAAGCTGCGAGCTATCTGTAAGAAGGTATTACTTAATGCTTTTTACCTCAGCATATAGCTTACAGTGCTGTAAGCATACATAGCATAAGCTATCATTTTGCAGCTTCATAGCACAGTCAGTCTTGCTTGTATAACAGGAGCTCTACAAACCCACTGAAAATGCATTATTCCTAGTTTTCAAAGGCTGCCCACTTCCAGGTTGGCTGATCTGTCAACATAAACACAAATTTTCCCCGACTTGGTTCATGTTGGCCGCGTTTCCTTTCTGTGGCAAAAGGACAAACGCACTGCGTGCTCTGCCTGGGGAGACCAAGCCAGCACTGCTGGAGTTTCTGACTGAATGGCAAATCAGGAATATTGCATCTTGACATGATGAGTTGCTTTTTGGCAGCAGATGCTTGGACACTATAATAAGGCGATTTGTTTTCATGAGGATTGCATATTTTGTGTGATTGTGGAAACACCTGTTATTTTGCATTGGGATTCCTGCTTGGTTTTGCTTAGATAGTACCCAGATCTGTTCATTTAAATAGTTTTTGCTTGTCTGGCATGTGTCTTGTATTTCTTCATGTATTTTGCATTTGATTTGCTACATACACGTAGATTTATGAATTGGTTCTTTCTGTTGCTGCATAAATATATTTATGACTAACAACGGATTTGAGGGGAAGAATCAACAATGGACTGTCAAGGCTCATTTTTTTTAATTGACTTTTAAACTGAGTTTCTTAGACCTCTGACTCAGCTCTTTGTACAGCACCATATTTATTGGCCAGTTTTATTTACATGTGGCTGTGCAGATTGAAAGCTATCTGCAATATGAGAAAAACCAGTTGGCTGCTTACAGGTAATTCTGAGCTCAAAGACTTTATCAGTGTGACAGCTCATATTTTATATGTAATCCTGTAGTTTTTAGCAGGGAGGGACTGAGAGTTTTAATGAATAAAATAAAGAGCCTGGTAATAACACCATAAAATCTGCTCATTTAATTATCAAAATTATGATATTAAATCATATAATACCCCTACATTTTGAGATACATACACAAGTCCTTTTTCAAAGTGTATGTTTAACATTTAGGTGTCTGACTTCAGTGACTACTAACTTATAAAAGTGTGTCTTCTTAAAAGTATATCATCATATCACTTTATTATCTAATGTCAGTAATTAGAAACTAAATACTTTTCTCCAAAATATAGAAGAATATATAGCTGTGCAGCTTTTCACTTTAGCCGGAATAAACCAAGGAGAGAAAAAATCACTTTGTATTAATAAAAGCAGGCGTTTTTGTTTGTGTCAGTTTCCAGTTAACTGGGTAGATCTCTGATACTCCTTTTGGCCTTAGATGACTACTTTACTTGAATTGTGTATTTAAGTGCTTCTGAACAGTTTGACAACCCAGTATTTCAGGTATAAAAAATACTGTGAAAAACTACAGCAGCTAGGTTTGATAATGGGCCATAAAAATACAGGAAGACCTCCTAGTGGTACCTTTTTCTTACCAAACTCATGTTATAGAAAGCCTAATGAAGTCAATGTTATGGTATTGCCTTATTATAGTATCTGATGTGTCTGTAGTAAAATTGCAGACTTGATTAGTGCCTCCTCTGCAGCCAGTTCTATTACTGATTCTGCTGGAGTACTGGCCTGGAAAATGAGTATGAGATCAGGTCTTGTACTGCTGGAAAAAGAACAAACTCCACTTAAAAATTATTGCTTTAAATTTAGTTAACTAAAGAAAAAGTGGTTCAGATGTATTAGCCTATGTGCTCAGTAAAACTGTATCAGAGTACATTTTTGTGTCTTCCCTGTAAGGCATTGGGTCATAATTTTGGTTACTTCTGCTGTCAGTAGTACCCAATTCAGTTTTTACTCAGAATTTTAGTAAAGATTGGAAATTGTAAAGTACTACCACTATTTTCTCACTATTCTATAGCTTTGGATGAAAGTGACATTAAAGCAAACTGTGAAAAAATGCAGTAACATAAAGAATACCAGTCAATAGTCTTTTTTTTTTTTTTTCTTTTGTGGTGATTGTTTTGTAAAGCATCTTATTTTTTTGTCAGTGGCATATATTCATGATCTACCTTATTTGTTTTCTGTAGGTTATAGACCCAGTAGCACCTCGGTACACTGCCTTACTGAAAGATGCAGTGGTCCCAGTAAATATTCCAGAAGCTCAAGAGGAGATGAAAGAAGTGGCTAAACACCCAAAGGTTCTTGCTTTGCTCTCTTAATATTCTTGTACTGCAGCTCAGTAAGGTTGGGAAGTACCTTGGCATGGAACGGTCAGGAAGGAGAGTCCTGCTTTTAGCTTGCTCAGATAGCAGAAGATCTATCCAAGGGGTACTTTTATTATGCCTCAGAATTGTCAAAAACTGTGCAACTACTAAACTTTTGTTCTTCTAAGAGGGAACTCTTTTTGTAAATATATAGAGTGTGCATAAAAGGTGCCTTAAAAGGCCTCTCTGGGAGTTTTCAGAAGAGGTGAGTCATTACAAGCCTGGAGTGCTCCTCAAACTGGTTTTCCTGTTGTTTGATGCTAACTTTCACAGAGGTTAAATATTAAATTTTATTCAAGCTCTGTGGCTATAATACAGTAAACACTCTTTATCCATTAACAGAGAGGTGCTTTTAAGTGGTTTATAAAATCAGGTTTTATGTGGAGAGGTAACATTAACCTGTTGATTCTGTCAATCTCTGGATTTTAATATGACTTTTAAATTTGTATAGCAAATAGTTCTTATCAAAAACTAAGAACTTGCTGATTTGATACTTTCAGTATCCAGTAAACAGAATAATATCCCTTAAAAGGGAAGTGTGTTACTGATACAGCTCTTTCTTGGTGCTACAAGTAACAAAGATACTTTCCTTTGAGTCTGAGGTCTTAAATTGTTTTTAAATGTCACTGAAAGCATCCCTTAGTTGTACTTATATACATTTACACTGAGAAATGAGTGAATATTGCTGAGGCTTTACTTCATTTTTTTGTTTTGATTTTGTTGCTCTGAGTGCTCCTGTAGCCATTTCTTTTAACTGAGAGTTGGACATTGGGTTTCCCCTCTTGCCCATGGCTGATAAAAGGAAACAGGTTTTGAGCAGATGTGAGAGTTGTGACTCTTCAAGGCTCAAAGATGCTGAAGTTTGGTCAGATGCAAGCCAGCATATTAAAACAATGATAGTACCAGTAAATGCTGCCTCCAATATGTAATGAAATAAATACTGACCAGAAGGAATAAATTGAAAACTCCTGACCAGCTGAGAAAGTCTGAACTCAAAGCCATCAGCCTTTTTAGAAAATAGAAGTTTATCTCAATTGTTGAGATACTTCAAAGCTGAATATTTCAGAAGTGATGTAGTTCTGGTTTCTGTCTTTACAAATCTATGCAGCTAAAAGAAGCTCCTTATATATTTCCATAATAACTTTATAAAAAAGCAAAAAATGAGAGTTCTGAAATTAGTTTTGAAGGGAATTTGCATAGCAAAATGGAAACTTGAGAAAAAGTTTGGGTTTACCTGTGAGATCTTAAAAATGCATGGACCTTAAGGAAATGGAATATGCTGTCAGTGGATTTTTTGGGTGTATTACCAGGGGAATGCAGACAACACCTGTAAAAGAAACTGGAGAGAGTTGTGGAAAAACATTGTGGCTTTGCATTACTGTTATTGTCCATCTTCTGTCTTCATCTGTTGTCTTTGAAATGTAAACGATTATTCACAGAATGCTGACGTTGGGTTGAAGCCTGTGTGGTACAGCTCCAGAGTCCTCATCGAGGGCGCAGATGCAGAGACCCTGGTGGAGGGAGAGGTGGTTACGTTCATAAATTGGGGCAATGTCATCATCACCAAATTAAACAGGTAACCTGTTCAGTGGCAGATGAAATTAATTTTTAGTTTCCAGCTTTTTGTTGCCTTTTCTTTTAACAGGAAGCTTGTAACAGTAAAGAATTTGTAACAGTAAAGAACTGATGGTTGGCCATGTATGTCTATTCTATGATTCTGTGTCTATAAATCTACTTTGAAATATGCCATGAAACTGCATGTTAGCATAGGGTGTATATTTCTGTAGATTCAGGTTGGAAATCATTAGTCAGTCCTGATACTGCATGTCCCTGTCATCCAGTGCTCTCCATGATTCTGTGGTAATATTGCCACTGTAAAACAGCTTTTTCAGACAGAAAAAAACCACCTGAATGTTAACAATTTTCACCCTATAAAAAATACTGCTTTTGCATACTGAGAAACTAAACCTGCCACAGTTTCAGTTGCACAGCTGTTGAGGTGGGAAGGAGACCATTTAATGTCATCGTGGTATCTTTGAAGTGGTTGTGTTGAGACAGTGCCAGAATGGAGTGAGCTCTGATAGCGAACATAAATATGCAAAGATTTTTTTCCTTATGCTTTTTGCTCTATATTAATATTTAAGACAACAAAATTAATGGAGAATGTAATCGGCAGTAAATGCACTCTTTCATTTTCTATGATTCACACTTTAAAAATTAACTCTGAACACTTGTTTTTGCAGTATTGAATCAGAACGGGTCATTTAGGCTGTACCATTATAATTTCTGTTTTCCTGTAGAAATTCAAGTGGAAAAATTGTGTCCATCAATGCCAAGTTGAACTTAGATAATAAGGACTTCAAAAAAACTACTAAGATCACTTGGTTGGCAGAAACTCCACATGCACCCCTCATCCCATCTGTCTGTGTTAATTATGAGCATCTGATCACTAAGCCAGTTCTAGGTAAAGATGAAGACTTCAAGCAATATATCAACCGAAATAGCAAGGTGAGTTATATTTTTGTCCCCTTTAATTCCACAAAACCTCATATTGTTTTTTGGGGGGTTTTTTTAATTCAATGTTTCTAGTTGTGGTTTTTAAAATATAATTGGTTTTTTGTTCAACAGATAAATTGTGCTGGTGTATCTAGTTTCTTTGTTTCCATGTAACCTGTCATAATCTCAAAATTAAAATGTGACTCTTGTTTATTCTCAGTTGTTACCAGGCTTTTACACATGTGAGACCAATAACTTGAGTTTTTGTCTTGGTACATTCTTACGACATAGCATCTTCTTGCTAGTACTTGTTCTGCTGTTTCTGGAATTAAGTAACATTTTGACACTTGGAAAAGGAGTAAATCACTACTATCCTTCTACAACTCTATTTCTTGCTGTTCCTTTGCTCTGTTAGACATGGACTGATTTCTTTTAATACTTGCAGCAAGAAGAACTGATGCTGGGTGATCCGTGCCTTAAGGAGTTAAAAAAAGGAGACATCATACAACTTCAGAGGAGAGGATTCTTTATTTGTGATCAGCCCTATGAGCCAGTGAGGTCAGTTACTTGAGAATGGCCTAAACAGACTACACAGAATTTGCTTTAGCTTACTGTGTTTTAGTGTTTTCACACACATTGGCAAGAGTAATGTTGTCTGCAAATGTTTACCCATTACCATGATCTTTGTGAGTAATATCTCTGTGGACTGGCATGGCTTTAATTTTTTATTACGTTCCTGCCTCTTCAAACTGTCTTAAGCCAAGTATGTGGTACTTGAGGTGCACCCCAGCTAACCTGGACTTAGTAATGAAGTCATGGTTTCGTTATGATTTGGAGTATAGAAATTAAGTAGCAGTGCTACAGAATAAAACAGGCATTTTTACAATTAGGGTGTGCACATACTACTTAATTGTAATACTTTCTTAGCAAGCTATCAAAACATCTACATGCAATTATAACATAAACATATAAATATGATAAAAAAAGGAAAACGTGCGTGCAAGAGGAATCATTGCAGATCCCCAATTATGTAAATTTAGGTAATTACAGCTGTGTATCAAAGATAAACCTGCAGTTGTGTGAAAGCATCTTTTAGAAAGAGTAGCTCATTTGTTTCAATAAATGTTTGATAATTATCTTTTATTTCCTTTCCTGTTGTATTTTCTATAAATCTTTTTATAGTCCTTACAGCTGTAAAGATGCCCCATGCATTTTGATTTACATCCCTGATGGACACACTAAAGAAATGCCAACATCTGGGTCAAAAGAGAAGACCAAAGCTGAAACTGCAAAGAAAGAGGTAAACTGGTTTTTTAGGAAAGTACCATAAAATGTATTATTATACATCTATTTCTGTATGAGATTACATGCTGAATACTTGGCTTTTTTTTTTTTTTTTTTTTTTTTTTTTTTTTTTTTTTTTTTTTTTTTTAAGGCTAGTTCAACTGTAAAAGGAAAATCTTCTGCTCCAGTTGTTGGTCATGCCTCTACTCCATCCTGTGCTGAATCATCTGAAGGTCACTTGATCATCTACAGCAAGGTGGCTGCACAGGGTGATGTAGTTCGTGACTTGAAGGCTAGGAAGGCAGCAAAGGAAGATATTGATAAAGCTGTGAAAGAACTGCTGGCCTTAAAAGCAGAATACAAAGAGAAGACAGGCCAGGAGTATAAGCCAGGAAATCCTCCAATATCTGGAAGTGCACAGTCATCAAAGCTTGAGACCTCTGGTACCTTGGACAGTAAAGCTCTGTATGATAAAGTAGCAGAACAAGGAGAAGTGGTCCGAAAACTGAAAGCTGAGAAAGCATCTAAGGTGATGATTAAAATAATCATGTGGTTTTGTCTGGGTTTGCACAGCCCACTGTTCTCTCTCTGTGAAGGTGAATGGGTGCTTATGGATCCAGGGTTTTTATCGTGGTCTTCATTTGGACTGGGCTCTGTTCTGTCAAGACTTGTGTTTTGCAATACTTACTTCTTCAGTTAAATTTGTATGACCAAGTTTATATTGGTGAATTCCCATATTTCTTAGGCTAGTGTTCTGAAACATGGACAGAATTTACCCAACAGCAAGAGTTGATTAAGTATCCAGATCAAGTCCTTGAGATTAAAATGCCTTGGCAATTTCTTCATTTGTTTAACTCAGTATGGTCAAATTATGTGACTTCACAGGATTGAATTGTTGCTGTTTAGACCGTAAAACAAAGCTCCAAAACTGCCGCGCTGCTGTCAGAGTGTCTCTACTCCCCTGGGCAGGGGAGGAGGTTGCTCCGGCTGAGCTGAAGGCACAGCAGCCGACAGCCGGGGTGGGGGGCACTTCCCAGATGCGCTGGGGGCGTCCCGGGTGCACCTCAGCAAGGGGCAGCAGCGAGCAGCAGGCAGGCGAAGTGGAAGAAAGAAAGGAGGGACCCTCCTCGGGGGTAAAATCCAGAGTTTTTATTGTCTCCAGGGTAGCCAGCCGAGCAGGGACCACGAGGCAGGAATACAGCAGCTTATAAAGGGGGCGGAACATACAACACATTAACCAATGAGGAAGAACTTGGGAGAGAACAAACTCGTGAGAAACATGCCGGCTAGCCAATAGGGAATGTGACAGGGAGGGACTCTTGTTCCCGATCCAATCACCCACCGAAGAGGGGAGAACTTTCTGGAAAGAGGGAAGGAGACAGTGGATGATGGACAGGAACTTGGGGAGGGATTGACAGAAGGTAACCAGGGAAACAGGGAGGAAATGATAACTTGACACTCTCAGAGGGAGGGGTACCAGGGGAGGAGGAGAGGGGGATCCCAGGACCGAACCATTATAACTTTAGGGGGAAATAGAACAAACCAAATGGACCCTGCACCACAACACAAAACCAGAAAGGAAAGATCCAAATGCCACAGATGTTTTTGAGAATCTTCCTGTCTGTAACTGTACATAGCAAATATAGCTATTGTTAGCTGTGTTATTTCCTTTCTTTTTAATGCAGAGCAAGAAGAGAGGGAAAATAACGTAGTTTGCCCAGTGGTTAAATAATGTTGATAGTAGTAGTATCTTGATGGCACCATAGAATCTAAATAAATGAGAAGATCTAAATTAATTTATTGTTATAATTTTACTTAGGACAGTTAGGGTTGTACGTCCCTTAAGAGGAGTTACTTTGTTAAAATAGGAAATTAGTAGAGAAGACTTCTCTGAATTACTCTACTAAGTACTTAGAAAAATGGAATAGGTGCACATAAACTGCAGGTCTTTTTATGAAAGTATTTGTGGTACTCTTGAGAGTCTTATGTCTCTATGTCTTTGTTCCTCCCTCTTTCTCCCCCCTTCCTTTCTTCTTTCAGGATGAGATAGGTGCTGCTGTGGAAGTCCTTTTATCCCTAAAGGCAGAATATAAGCAACAGACAGGCCAGGAGTACAAGCCTAGAAGCCCACCTTGTGGCCTTTGTCCCTCCTCAATGTTCTCCTGTTCCCACTCCTCCATCCCCATGTCCAGTAGACAGCAAGGCTCTGTACAGCAAAGTAGCTCAACAAGGAGAAGTGGTCCTCAATCTCAAATCAGAGAAAGCTTCAAAGGTGTTCTACCTGTGGATACTTCTGAGTGGAACAGTGTCTTCAGTTTAGGCTAAAACTCACCGTCAGGTTTTGTGAAATTTGAGGAGCAAAACATAAGCTAGTTCCATGAAGCGCTTTCCCAAATTCTCTTAAGCTGATGATATGGCTGACTGCATGAGTTCTGTGTTAGTGCATGGAAAAGAAATAAGTTCTTTTTTTAGTCATACAAGATAAGTGAAGCAGACTATAGGCAGTAACTTGGAGCCAGAATGGCAGCAGTAAATTTGGGAATTACCTGATCATGACCAAACAACCATTATTTCTTCAGAGTCTGTGTATTTGCTACTACTCTCCAGTGTGCAGCTCATGGACTACTATAACTGGAGGGGACTAAGCCACCTAAATGGGAGGCTTTTATGGCACAGAAATCAGCCCTTACCTACACTACCTGAGTTGGTCCTTTGGCGTACAACTTGTAGGTCTTCTGGCTAAAAAGTTTTACCACAGAACTTAGTAATAACGGCTTATACTTGCAGGATAGCTCTAGAAGTTTTATTACAACAGCTGTGTTAGTGCCATTCTAGTAATGGCTTGTGTTATCTCAGCGCTTGTGTTACACCTCTGTTATTTCTACCCTTCTCTGCAACTGCTGTTTTTTCTCTCTTGCTTCAGGAAGAAATAGATGAGGCTGTGAAAATTCTTTTAAACCTAAAAGCAGGATATAAACAAAAGACAGGTCAAGAGTTCAAGCCTGGAAATCCACCCTCAATGCCTCCTTGTCTGTCTTCCACGGCGCCTCCATCTCCTGTCTGCTGCAGTAACTTAGCAAGCTGTAGCTTAGTGGATGGCAAAGCATTTTATGATACTGTAGTTGAGCAAGGGGAAGTGGTACGCAGACTCAAGGCAGAGAAAGCTTCCAAGGTACAATAGGCATTAGCGTGAGCAATTGTAATTGTAATCACATTTGACCACTGGGGGGAAATCTTTCACCAGGTAGTGACCAAGCTCCCCTATGTCCAGGTCATGCATGCTCTGATAATGCCAAACAGAACTGTTCTGGTGCTGGATACTTTCCTGACTCAGATATATGAAGTCAAACTTAACCCCTTATATATAGGTGAATAGGCACGAGTATGGCAGTTATTGACCTTGCAGAAGTGTTTAATGTATTTTACCATCTATTGCTGTATTTGGGACAAGTGACTTTTCAACTATCTAGTGTGCTGCAGCAATAGCAAGATCTGTCAAAATGAGACAGATTCAGTGATAGTTGTGGAAAAGAACAGGAGACAAACCTGCAGCTTTTTAGGTGCTTCTGGGGGGCGGGGGGATTTCTGCCTGTATTTCCACCTTGCAAAATTAGTTTAGGTATTGGGTTGTTTTTGGGGGGGTTTTTTGTTGGTTGGTTAGGTTGGTTTCATAGCCTGATAATCAATGCTTCTGGCCAGTTCTCTCTTTAATTCTCACCAGTAAATCTTGCTATTTGTCCTCCACATAGGATCAAATAGATGAAGCAGTAAAACTCCTCCTTTCTCTAAAAGCTGAATACAAGGAAAAGAATGGGCAGGAGTACAAGCCAGGACACCCACCAACAGCTCAGGGGGCTTTGCCTCAGACATCAAACGCAGTATCCAGCGGTCCAGATACTCCTGAAGCTAAAGCCCTGTTTAGCAAAGTAGCTCTTCAAGGAGATGAAGTTAGGAAATTAAAAGCAGAAAAAGCAGATAAGGTAATAACATGTACACTGTAGTGTAAAAATATAATATATGTATTTAAATCTAAAAATCTCTTTAAAATTCAGTGTGATTATGGGAATTAGAAATGTACCTTTAAAATTATGTACCTTTAAAAAATGTACCTTTAAAAGGCAGCATTTGAATTCTGGGATCTGAAATATTCTTTTTAAATTAGATATGCTGTCAGGTATGATCCTATAAAATGTCAGCACATTAAAGTTAAGTACTGGCTTATGCAGATTTTTTTTTGCCAATAGTCTGTGAATGTCCATAAAGCCATATAGATTTTTTTTAATAGACCCATATTATTCCAGTGATTTCTCTATAATTTTCTTACTTTTTTCTTTCCTTCAAGGAAAAAATAGATGTGGCTGTTAAAGAACTTCTTCAGTTGAAGGCCCAGTATAAGTCTGTTGCAGGAGTTGACTATAAACCAGTGTCCGCTAGTGGTGTAGATGACAAAGACAAAAAGAAGAAAGAGAAGGAGAACAAGTCTGAAAAGCAGAGTAAGCAACAGAAGCAAAATGATGGCCCCAAAAAAGAACCTTTGCAAGGACAGAGTGGTAATGAGCACTCCTCAAATGGATCAGGAGAGGGCCAAGGCCCTAAGAAGCAAACCAGGTAAAGATGCAATCTTTAATCTTATTGGATAGAACCATCAACTGTCTACCTATGTTCAGATTTAGAGTTTGATACATATCTAATTTCATTTGAAAGTATGGACATTTGCAAAATAACTGTATTGATTTTCATATTCAGGATTGAGCCAAAATCAAGTTACCAAAGTTTATTTAGTGTCAGTTGTACTTCAGCATCCTGTATTGTTACTGTCACTGAGAAGTTTTTGTGCTTATTATTTCTTTCTGTAAATGTGCTGCTGTGTCTTGCTGAAAATTTAGAGGTCTTTCTACAGCATGTATTATGCAGCACTATGTATTTCCTGTTTTATGTACATAAATCATATATTAGAGACAGAGATGCGGTTATTTTGTATAGAAATAATGCCAGAAAAAAATGTGTTTCCCTCCTTTAAAACTTCTTTGTTTGTAGAGATATAAAACTTTTACTTTTGTATTCTGTCATTTGAGTCTGGTGAGTTTAACCTTCTTTAGAGTCCTGTAGTTTTATTGGTTATCTTTATTTTGAGGTAGGGTCAGTTTTCTCAAACAGTGTGACTGACATTCACATGAATGGTGAATTCAAGTTGCATGTCCTTCCTGAAATTTTAGCTACTGTCTAGGTAGGAAATGTTTAAAATAAAGAGTAAAACAGCTTACACACAGGTCTGGTTAATCTTAGGTTCTTACTGGACTCCTTACTGGTGGTTGGGTTTCTTAATATGTTGCTGTGAGGTTCTTTGATACAGCCATAGTGAGAATTAGAAGTGTTCAAACTATACTGAATAAATGGAACTGTTCTTATTAAATATTCTTGTTAGGGTAAGGAAATACTAGCAACTCCCACCAGCCAAAACTTAGCCTTTTGATGTAAAACTAAAACATTCTCTTCCACCTTATTATTCCATACCTCCTGCCCCAAAAAAAGAAGAGAAAAAAAAAGGGTTAGGATAAGTTTCACAGCTAAATGCTGAACAGCACAAATCTGTTTCTTTTGTCATACCTTAGGCTGGGTCTAGAAGCTAAAAAAGAAGAAAATCTTTCAGAGTGGTTCTCTCAGGTAAGTGCACATCAGTTTGATTTAATTGTTTCATTCTGTAATAAATCAATGTCTGTTAGGAATTTACGTATTTCTGATTGAGTTCCTTTTTTTTTTTAATACAAAGCAAAGTATTTTCTCTTTTCTATGTCTTATGTTATCATGGTCTTTAATAGAAGTGCCTTGGAGTGAAGAGCTGAATAAATTTAGTAAGCTGTAAAAAGGGTGAGTGTCACCCACCCAACCTTTTATATATAATGTATATGGTTTCCTCGTCTCATATCTGGATTCCTCTTTTGTTAAGAGTAAAAAACTTAGTTGAAATTATAGGAATTCCACAGACTTGAGTGTTCTATTTCAGCTCAAGGTGATGCATAACAGAGTGAATATCTGTTGATACTTAACAATTTTGCTGGCTTGTGAGATTGAAAACAACCCAGGCAGAGATGATTAGTTTAGACTAGTCTTGTTATGAGAGATTGTAAGTAGCTGTCAATGGTGTACATTTCCTGTCAGTAGTATAATTTTTGCCTGTACTCTAAGGAATAAAAGTCTCTTCTGACATGAGCTAGAGACATTTCTTACAGAAGTGCAATTTTTTTGTTCCTGGAAAGTAGCCATAGTCTCTTACTTGGGTTCATGAAATTCATTTTAAGTTTTTACAGTATTTAGACCTGTTATTAAACTTAATGTTCGTGGTTAACCTTCTCTAGGTAACACAAATGACCCTAAAGTATATCTTAGCTGCAAACAATTTGAGCAGTTTTAAGTAGGAGACTTCTCTTGAGTTGCATGAGACACCCTTGAATTACTGAATGTTCTCTGTGTACAATCTGAAACTTCAGCCTCTGATTAATCTTTTGCAAGGTGATCACAAAATCAGAGATGATTGAATACTATGATGTGAGTGGCTGTTACATTCTTCGTCCTTGGGCTCATGCTATTTGGGAAGCCATCAAAGACTTCTTTGATGCAGAGATCAAGAAACTTGGAGTGGAAAACTGCTACTTCCCCATGTTTGTGTCCCAGGCTGCCCTAGAAACAGAGAAGTCTCATATTGCTGACTTTGCTCCTGAGGTACACTTCAAAACTTCATTTTAATCTGACTGTAAGAAAACCCAACCATTTAGTCTGCAGCTGGTGGGTATGAAAGTAAGTTTGGGGCTAGAGGATTTTTTCCCAAACTTATTTTGTTTAATTTTTTTTTTATTTTCTCTTTTTTTTAGGTTGCTTGGGTCACAAGATCTGGGAAAACAGAACTGGCTGAACCAATTGCTATACGTCCCACAAGTGAAACAGGTGGGTCTGTTTTCATGTAGTTTGGCTATAAACTTATATGTGAAGTTCTATGTATAGTGTAGCTGATAGACAAGAGTCCCTTCTGAAAAGTGGAAGTCCCCACTTTTCAGAATGTTTTCTGTAACTCCTTAGGAAAACTTCTTAATCTTGTTGCTGCTCATAGGAAATCCACATTATATGTTCCCTTAAATAGACATTTTTAGGAAATGCAGACATTTCAGGAATTTTTTTGTTAATATCCTGAAGACTGGCTTACTTTGTCTGAAAACACATTTGATTATTTGGTTTATAATGTTTATAAGAATTTTTTCAACTCATAATTCATTTTGTTTTGCATGTGTTTTGACTGTAATTGTTCCTCTGAGTAATTTAAACAAGCATTTTAAGACATAAGGCTGGATAAGTTTTTAACTGAGTCAATTAAAAAGGAACTAAATAGGAATTAAAGGAACTAAAAGGAATTAAATAGAAGCTACCTGAGGTCAGGTAGTTCCTATTTGTGAACCCAGGTGTATTTACCATACTGTAAGCCAGGGATTCAAACCCAGTGTCATTAAATAATAAGCTTTGGATTGTACTTTGACCAGCAGCAACCAAGCTCTTTTGCAGAGACTTGGGATAAAGTGGAAGTACTCTGGTGAAAATATTATGTATTAAGACAAAAAATGTATTTTAAAGGAAATGAAACATAAAAGCATAATTGTCACAGCAGAGACTGTTAAGCTTATATGTACCAAAAGGAAAAGTTTGACGTGTCTTTATTGTGTGGAGACTCAAAGCTGCTTTCTTTTTTCAGTAATGTATCCTTCCTATGCAAAGTGGGTGCAGTCACACAGGGATCTTCCTATCAAGCTTAATCAGTGGTGCAGTGTTGTGGTATGTGTACACAATTCCTGAGTACCTCTTCTTATCACAAGTGCAGTGTAGGACAGTTATTCTCTATGGCCTTGGCATGATCATAATGATCACAGCACATATTTCAAACCAAAATTATTACCATGGTTTATATGATATGTTTTTCTCAGTGTTTCTAATAAAACATTCTTTATCAATGTATATGGTTGACTGTATTAAGTAGAAATCTGTGAGTAGTTAGCTTTTTTATCATTATTGAGGATTTTCTAGTACTTGCTTATAAACATTATTTGTAACAAAAATTTGACGCTTCATAGTGTTACATTTTTATGCTTCTGCCCCTCCAGCGCTGGGAGTTCAAACACCCCCAGCCTTTCCTTCGGACTCGTGAGTTCCTTTGGCAGGAGGGTCACACAGCATTTGCAACATATGAAGAAGCAGCAGAGGAGGTAAAAACAAATGCACTGGTGCTTCTCCTTTCAGGAAGTTACCTTACTCCATAGCAACACAAACAAATCTTTGTACTGAGACCTCGAGGAAATATTTTTTTTGAGAGCCCTTGTGAAAAATGCCAAGTTTATTAAAACCCATTTTTTTCTCAGATGTAACCCATTTCTGAGGCTTCATTCTTTACAAACAATATGGGAAGTTTGAAGAGTGTGATATATAGTGTGCGCTTACCTTAAAATTATTTTTCTTAAAAATACTGAAAAATCAATTTTCATTAAAAATTTAAATAATGCATCCACGTGTTTACTACTAGAAGTTCTAAAACTTTCTTTGCCCAGTTCTAAAACTTTCTTCTTGTTTTCTGTCGTGACTTACAGTTGTTGCTTTTTCATTCAGGGAAAAGAACATCCAAAGTTTAAAGTAATTGAAGAAATCTTAGTTTCTAAACAAAGTCTTGAGAAAGTGTTAAATCTTAAAGATTTCAGACTCTGTCACGTAAAAATATTTCATGATGTAACAAATGCAAAATCCTGAGTAATTCTGAAGATAGTTTGTTCATCATAGGTGCTGCAGATACTTGATCTCTATGCTCGAGTGTATGAGGATCTCTTGGCAATACCTGTTGTGAAAGGAAGAAAGACAGAGAAGGAGAAGTTTGCTGGGGGGGATTATACAACCACTTTAGAGGCATTTATATCTGCCAGTGGAAGAGCTATCCAGGTATTTAGCTATTAAAATAATTCTTTATTTCAGTAAATATAGGAAGATGAAATATTTAAACTGGTGCTTGATAGCCTTAGATTTTCATTTAATAGAATTTTCTGTGTGCATCTATTTCAGGGAGCAACATCACATCATTTAGGGCAGAATTTCTCAAAGATGTTTGAAATTGTGTTTGAAGATCCCAAGAAGCCAGGAGAAAAACAGTTTGCTTATCAGAATTCCTGGGGCATTACAACTCGGACCATTGGTGTAATGACAATGATTCATGGAGATAACATGGGATTGGTACTCCCACCTCGTGTAGCCTGTATTCAGGTGTGTAAAAATGCCTTAAACTGCTTTAGTTTCCTTTCTTGTCTTGGAATTCCTAAGTATTTCATATTGGGCAGCTGGAAAACTTAATATAGGATGGAGCTGCCTAGTTAAAGAGTAGCTGTGTGAGGTTAATACAAATCATGAGGTTACTTGTGGTGGAGCAGTCCCCTTTGACAGTTCATCCATTTGAAGTAATGTTATCTGTGCCATTAGTATGAAAAGGGAAATGTGTCCTTCATTTCTGAGAGCATGAAGGCAATTACTGGAATATAGGGCCACAATATTGGTTTCAAGTTTTTTATAACTATGAGCTATTTTTTTTTTTTTTTTTTGTAGCATAAAGTACATGTCCTGTTCTATTGCAGGTTGTAATTATTCCCTGTGGTATCACAAACTCCCTTTCTGAAGAGGACAGAGAAGCTCTGTTGAAGAAATGTAACGAATATCGTAGCAGGCTGCTTGCTGTCAGCATCCGTGTCCGGGCTGATTTAAGAGACAACTACTCACCTGGCTGGAAGTTCAACCACTGGGAACTTAAGGTACTTTTCTTTCCAGGAGAGGTTTTGAAGCCTAGGTGAGGAGAATATATGAGGTATGCTATGTGTGCCCTGTGTTCTGGAGGCAAATGTGTTCTGTAAATTAAAATCTGCTACCTGATAATTAGTGATCACTTTTGTGAATAAATGAAGAAATGGTGTTTTCAAAAACTTGTTCTGTTTGCTAGGATTTGCATGTCATTAGGGATATTTAAACCTCCAGGGCTCTACTTATATACCTAGAAATTTAAATTAGGAGCATAAATTACTTGCATTTTTAGAAATATGTACTAATACTTCAGTGTGTCCTGACTCACAGCAGAACAGAGAAGATAAACCTGCAGTGTCGGAAACGAAAGGAGCAATTTTTTTTGTTTCAATATTGCCATGTTCCCCTCATATAGCACTTGAGAGGAACAGTTCTGCTTCCTCTAATATAAGAGGCTTTTATAAAACAGAAATAGTAAGCCAACTAAAACAGTGGTAATAATGGTAATTAAAAATTGAATGATGAGTATTGTTATGGAATCATATTTTTATTCTGAATTTAAAATCAGTTTCAATATGTTAATCTTCAAAGTAACCTGATAGAAGTGACCTAAATTGTTCAAAGTTTCCGTTGTCTCAAAGTTCTCTTCCCTTTGTGTAACCTTTTTTTTTTTTAATGGAGCTCTAGTACTGTGAAGCCATGTTGGAAAACTTTGTAAATAAAATTAGGTTTTTCAAGGAGGCACACAGCACAGGGTAAACTTGATGTTTTTCATAAAATCTACTAATGTGTAGATAATACACATTAGTATAATAATGTAGTATAATACCAGTCCAGTATAATACCTAAACTGCATCTTCAGGCTCATTGCAGGAACAATACACTCCTTTTATTGAATGTATAAGGAATTTCATAGGGTAAAAAATACAAAGGTGCTGGAATAAGAAGTAAAGGAATTAACTGGAAAATATTTTGCCTTATGCACTTGTCAGCTTAGCAGACTTCTGATGTTACTTCCTAAAAAAACCAAGTCAGTGGTACTTCTTTTGTATTGTCTGGTATTAGTTCCACTGCTTTCTTGGGAAATCTGCCTAAGGGACCATGAACTATTCTTTCACTTTGTAGTATTACAATTAGAAGTACTGGATACTCCCTTCCAAGTTTTTATTATGGAAACAATGCTTTGTGGGCATAAACTGGAATGTTCAGTTTGAATTGCTTGTTAATCATAGTTTCGAGTAGCTTTTTATGTAGCTTTGCAGCAGTAGTAGATAGTTCATTGGTCAGATGGATCTTACTGTACTATTCACCTTTTTAGCATAATTAAGGTAGTGGGGGCAGAGGGAGTATAGGGAATCACTTGGAAGCTGTGAACCTGAGGAAATTCCAGAGTACACAATGCATAGAAAGCTTGGTACAGGTTTTGATTCTCCTGTTCATCTCTTGAACACTGTGGAATGGTTTTAGCTTATAAACCTACTGGTTCAGTTTCTTTGCGGGAGAGGGGGGGAACAAGAGCAATCCTCCAAAATGTATTTTTATGCACTCTTTTCATTACCTGTGAAAGAATGTGTACACTCTGGTATACATGTTAGGATGTAAAGAAAATAAGTTACATGGTAGACTCTTAACTCACTCTTTTCAGTAACATGGAAAATCTTTTTGTCTGATTGTGTGATTTTGTCTGTGGGGGACGAGAAATTACATCTTACCACCAAAGTTTATAAACTTTGTTATGATAAACTTTGATAAACTCTGAATTACTTGAAATTACTTGCTTTGCTAAAGCAATTAGATGTTTGTAGTCAAATATTCAATGCAATTAATGTTGATATTAGGGCTGTATTTAACAGAACTTCTGCTGCTAAAACAATACCTGTTGAATGCTATTGAAAGCATTCTTTGAAAACAGAATTCAATGTATTAATGGGTGAACTAGAACATTATAATTGCTATAGAAGTCTTAATTGTTCAGACTTAAAAAATCTGATTTACACTATGTGGGATAACTTAGTGCAGTTTCAGCAGTGCTTCAGTATTACTTGCACGCTAGCACTGATGCAGTCTTCAAGCTAGTGAAGTGAGGTAGAATGCACAAGTGAAGAGAATGAGGATGAGAAAGACAGAAATGCATAAAAGCTTTGGAATATATTGTGATTCTTTTTTCCAAAGAAACTTAAATGTATCAAGTGAGTCTATACTAAAACTGGACTTTAAAACAACAAAAAGCCACAGAGAGAGAAATCTTCTGAGTATTACTTCTTCATCATAACTTCTAATTTTTTTTTCCTTGAAGGGTGTCCCAGTCAGAGTTGAAGTGGGACCACGAGACATGAAGAGCCAACAGTTTGTAGCTGTTAGAAGAGACACAGGGCAGAAGCTGACATTGTCTGAACATGAAGCAGAAGAGAAACTTAAGCAGATCTTGGAGGAGATCCATGCAAACCTTTACAGCAGGTAAACTAAGAGTTACAGTAAATGGCTCTGCTAATCACAGATGCCCTTCATCTGTCAGAAGAATTTCTCATGTTAATGGTTTGTTTGTGGAGAAAGACAGGTTAGGCTCATCTTCCTGTTTGTGTCATGTAATTTTCTACCTGTTAAACTCCTTCACATTCAGCGATAGGAGCTGCCTGTTGTTCTTATGAAGTTAAGAGGTTGTGAACTTACTTTAAAAAATACATCATTGAGTTCACATGTATTATTAATAAATAAATACACCATAAATACGTGTGACCCATTGGTCATTATGTGACCAGTGACCTTAACACTGCCCAAGGAAGGGCAGCAGAGCTGGTAAAGGGTGTAGAGCACAAATCCTGTGAGGAGTTGCTGAGGGAGGGGTGGGGTGTTTCTTCTGGAGAAAAGGAAGCTCAGGAGGGACCTCATCACTCTCTACAACTGCCTGGAAGGAGGATGTAGCCAGGTGAGAGTTGGTCTCTTCTCCCAGGTAACATGTGACAGAATAAGAGGAAATGATCTCAGGTTGAGCCAGGGAAGGTTTAGATTGGGCATTGGAAAAAATGTATTCACTGCAACTGTGGTCAAGCATTGAAACAGGCTGCCCAGCACAGTAATGGAATAGTCATCCATGGAAGTGTTCAGAAAACATATAAATGTGCTTATGGACATGGTTTAGTGGTAGGTCTGGCAGTGTTGGCTTAGTGGATGGACTCAATGATCTTAGAGGTCTTTTCCAGCCTAAATAATTCCATGATCCTATGTACAGAACTTATTTTTGAAAGATGCTTTTGGTGCAGAATTTTGAAAGACACAAAGCTGTCCAAGTAACTTCAGTAGCTGAAGTTCTGTGTCCAGAAGTGTATTGTAAGACCCTATGGACCTTCACAGGATTGTTTACTTGTAAGCAATCAAATACTTCTGAAACTGTTTTTTGCCCTTATTGCAAACACCAAAATCCCTCACAGGTCTCTCACTGCAGATTGTTGCTTGTAAGTCCACTGAGAAGAACAGGGTGTTGACACAGCACTATTTCTTTCTCTGATGATCAAAATTGTTTACAGGCGTAATATTTTTACCTAGTTCAAAAGCATCTTGGGATTTAGATTTAGAAGATGATTTAAAAAGCAAAATATACATCTGTCATGGTTTGACGCTGGCACAATGCTAATGCCTTCATGAAAATATATTTTTTTTAGTGGATGTTGTGAGATGTGATCAGAAATAGAGCAAAGTAGGCTTTAACTTAGGAATAAAGGAAAAAAAAACTTTATTAATTACAGTATCTAAAAAGGAACAGACACAGAATTTAGAATGAAAACTTTCTAAATATATTATTCTTCCTCTCATTTCTTCTACAGCATGAAATAAAACTTTAGATTTTTATCTAGTTACTATCTTTTAGATAATTAACTTTCAGTCTATCACTACTTTTTAAATAATTAACTTTTAGTTTATTAGGGAGAGAGGAGTTTTTTTTTGCACTATAGGCTTCTTTTGGAAACACAGTTGAAATCTTTTGTGTTTTCATGTTATTTGTGGCACTGTTCGAAGAGCATTTGTTTTCGTGACTTTTTCTTTTTATGTTCAGTGTTTTCACTACTGCGCATGGACCAGAATTGTTTTTAAGGTTCTCTTTTTAAGGATGCATTCCTCAGTTTTAAAAAAAGCAACAGTTTCTCAGCTTCGGGACACTAGTCCTTTTTAAATTTACTTCTTGGGCCGAGGGGCCTCGTGAACAAAGATATTTTATTTCACTGAAGACAGAGGGCATCACTACACCTTCTTCAGCTGTCTTTGTTTACACTACTGCTTCACCGTACTTTTTTGGCTCTAAGGCATTGCTTCCCCCTAAATGTAGTTTTTGTGTTACAGGAAAAGCATGGGTCTGTTTATGGCTGTACAAGAAGAGTCTAGCTCAAGGCTGCTCCATCATTTCTTCTCACCTAGGATTCTTCTTAACTCTTCTGACATTTCTTACTTGCACTAACTTTCATCACGCTTACTTATTTCTTTTTGTTTTATTTCTCTCTTTCCTCATTCAGATTCAAGAGGATCAGTATTTGTAAGGTTTCTGTTATTTAAGAAAAGGGTTAAAATTTTCGCTTTTGTCTGCTTAGAACTCTTATGGCGGCCAGGCACTTTCTTGCGCCACATCCTTCACTTCTGGCCAGTCGTGCTGCTAGTACATGATATCAAATTTTAAGGCAGCACAGGCACTGGCTCTGTCTCTTTCTATATCTCTCCTGGGGGGTAGCGGGGGTGGGGGGGGTCTGATGCTTCTTGATGTTCTTCTACTTTTTCATCTTGCAAAGCCTTCGCCCTCTTCCTGTGCCCAAGGCTCCGGCCTACCTCACCTCGGCTGCATGGCTTCCCCTCTCCCACCCAGCCCCAGCTGGGCAGGGGAGGTCTGACTTCTTTCATTGACCCAGACCAAGAGAGTTTTTTTTGGGAGTTCTCTGCTTTTTAACCCCCTGTGTTCTCAGAGGCGGTCCATGTTTTCAGTGACTAAACCAGGTGCTAATATTCAAATCTAAGCACTGATTGGTTTGAGCACAACTTCCCAAAAAATTCACTTCTTTCTCAACTTAGGACATCTATAGTATTTATTTCTGTCTGCTTCAGGTCAGTGTTTAACTGGTGGGCACAACAGTGTGAATGAGCACAGTGAAATATACAGCAACCTATCAGCAATTAATCAAAATTTTACCTCCTTGAGGATCAGTGGTAGAAAGACATAACCTGATTAGGAAGATTCTAATGAATATATAGTTCTTTTTGTAACCTTTTGTTTTGACTGGCTCTGAAAACTCAGCTCATTGGGCCAGTGAGTTTATTTGAATAAATCTGCCCTGACTGAATTTTTTTCCTTTTCTTAGAGCATCCAAGGACCTCAAAAGTCATATGGTGGTGGCCAGTAATATGGAGGACTTTCAAAAAGAGCTTGATTCAGGAAAGGTAAGGGGATTTACCACTTCTATTTTTGTGCTTCACACCCTTTTTATCTATTACAAATAATGGTTTTATCAGAGTATGCTTTTAAGAGAGAGTAATGTAAACATTTCATTCAGGTTACAATAACCTCACTGTCATTATTCTAATGCAGTGACAAAACACTAAGTCTCATATAAGGGTCCAGGTAAGAGTTTAAAGTACAAGATATTTACAACAAGGAAGTTTTACCTTTATGACCTGAGTAGAAGCCATTGGGTTCATTAAGAATTACTGCAAGTCAGAAACCTCCTTGGATTTATAATAAAAACAACCAATCACGTGGATGAGTGAGCTCTACTGATCTAAACATCTATGAAAAGCTATTGAAGTTCAGATGAGAGATTAAGTCTTCAGCACAGAATTGAGCTGAAGTTCTTTTACAAAGAACTGCTGACAGAATTTTTTAACCCTGAAATTCTGTCACAGATCAGGTTGGGAAATTGTTTATGTGTTTGGATTAGTGTGTTCAAGAGGTAGGATCCCCAGCATTAGTTAGTAAGGTTGTGTATTTTGTAAAGAGAGATCAGGAGGTTGTGTATCAATTAGATCCACTCTGAAAATTTCAAAATTCCTGATGAAAAATGTACAAGTGCCAAGAATCTGTAAATACTCTGTTGAACTTCAAAAATAATTTTAAGTTTTTCCTGGTTAGGCTTGACCTTCCATTATACTATTTTCTTGTATTTCTATTGCACTTAAATTCAATTTAGAACACAGTTTAAAAGAATAATGATAAACTTCAGAGGAGGAACTGATTTAGCAATGTCCAGCACTCACTGTTGTGTGCAGCTAGATTCTAGATATGACAAAGAGAATTAAGCTGTTTTTATAATGCTTAGAAGTCTCATGTAATCTAAATGTAGTTAAGCTTGGAAATGTGAACAAATAATTTTATGTTCCATGTTGGATACTTCCACTGTTTTGGTACTTAGGTTATATGAATTTATTATGAACTGCATATCTGAATTGAAAAAAAATTGAAAAAATATGCCATTTGGTCTTTGTTTCACTCTCTACCTATTTTTGTTGTACTAACATAATTTTATAGCATATGTATTCTGAATTACTTGAAATTGCAGTCTGTTAGCACTGACTACTGTTTAAGAGCAAAATTTTTAAAGATTAAATAAGTGCTCCTGTTTAATTCCTACTGCTGTTTTTCCCTTAATGGAATTGCAGACTCTTAGCTATTTAAAAATGTGGACTGTTTTTCATTTCACTAACAAAAGATTCATGCAAGAACAGTGTAGTAGAGTGGTAATAGTTCCTTTTTTCAGTTGCAAGAAAGTGAAGCTATAAAGTGAAGTCTACTAAAGGTGTGTTCCAGTTAATGCCAAATTGAGAATTTTGCAGTAAGAATGTAAATTAGGTGAAAGAAAGATGCACTGAGTGAACCTTATTCACAGTTTGGATAGAATTAAAATGAATGAAGGCTGAATTTAGTAGCTGAGGGTGCCCTCAGCTATCAGCATTTCATGAGTGTTCAAATGTGTATAGGGTGTGTCTTTTTTACAGTAATGCTACCTCTTGGTAGCAAACTGAATTTTCTCTGTGGAAGTCCATTAAAAAGTCAGTAAAATTGAATATAAAACTAGGGGCAAGAGATCTGCTCCAGTAGCTAAGAGTAGTGCAGAGAGGAGTGTGTGACATCATTTCAGCCTTGCTCTTTCAGTTTTCTTCAGTTAAGCTAAGTGAAGGAAAGAGCAGGAAGCTGCACACCCACACCCACCCCCCCCCCCCCCC